AGTTATCAGGGAGCCAGTTCTCATTTCATTTGCACAGCGCCCTATGAGATCACTATTATTATGCCGCTTTTATTCCCACTCTGCCCACATTCAATAGCCCATTTGGCTCTGTCTCTGCCATGTTTCTCATATCTGGACTCTCCTTTCTATCTTTGCCACATTGGAGGCCACAGTTTATTTTGCTTGAACAGATTATTGAATTAGCCTTAACTGGTCTCCTTCCAGCTTTCTTAGCTCCCTACTCTCTACTCAGCAACCAGATAATCTTTCAAAAATATAAATTGAATTGTGTTATCCTTGCATAAAGCCCTCTAAAGGCTTACTGTTATACTTAGGATAAGACCCAAACTCCATGTGCTGCTCTATAAGACTTACCCTTGCCCATTTCGCAAACAGCCTCATTGAACACTCTGGCCACCCTCCTAGATGCCCTAACTTGCTCACCAAGCTACAGTCACATGGGCCTTTCTTCTCTTCTGGAAATCCTCCATGCCCCTTCCTGCCTCAGGGCCTTTGCACTGATTATTCCCACTGCCTGAAATGCCACCCCTCAATGTTCACATGGTCCTTCTTGTCATTTTATTTTTCCCATAGCACCTTCCACTCTCCAAAACTACTTTACCTATTATCTGTTGCCTGCGTGTTACCCGTCTGCCCCTCATTAGGAGCTAAGCTGCATGAGAATAGAGACCTTGTCTATTGGTTCGCTGGCCTCCAGGACGTATATTGCACATAGTGGTGGTTGATTTAATGAATAACTTCAAGGAACTCTATTTCACAGATGAGGAGACAGGTTAAGTAACTTGTCAAATTTCACAGAGCTATTAATGAGCCCTAGGGTACGTTTTTTTCTCATTCTTATAATCAGTCTTCTGGAGTTTTTCTAAAATATTAATTATTTCCCAGGTGTTTGGAAAATGTCAAACGGCTTTACTTTCCTTCCCAAATAGTCCACAGAAATCATTTGATCACTTTCAAAAGCCAGTTCCGTCCACTCCAGTCTTGTTAGCATCAGCGCTGGCTGGGGTTTCCTCCAACGCCTTTGATGTGCCCGTTCATCAATGAGGAGTCCGGACCCAATGCGACTGCCACTGCAGAGTGCTCAGAGCCCACGCCGCCCGGCTTCTCCCTGAGCGGGGTGCCCCGTCTTAGGGAAAGCCATTCTTCTTCCAAAGTGGCTCCTGCCACTCAACTGCAGACTAACAGCTTTAGTTTGCTTTCACAGTTGATGGCAATTTTATGGACATTTGTTTGTCAATTTTTATTGTACTATCTCCTCTGACTCCTTAAGCCCTAAAAATTCTGGTCTTATATGTCCTGATCAATCTAATTAGCCCCTTTTAATGATCAGATGCTTTCAATAGGGTTTTCAGATGCTCCCCAGAAGTGTCTTCACTCAAATGTAAGGAGCTTACTACAATTTACTGCAGCGTGTGTGCAATGTAAGTTAAAGGAATGAGCTTTAAAGAAACACAACTAGGAAATCTTTAAACATTTCTGAAATGACTTAAGAAAACAAGCGAGGATCACTCTGTATATTTATGCTCTTTCGATAGCTCCAGGAATTAGACGTCACCTAAGAATGATGGCATCAGTTTATAGACGAAGTTGTAACAATATAGTACAGTTTCCTAATGATAGCAGCATTTTAGGGCAAACGAGCTAAACTTGGATACATGTGGATTTGTTATACTTGTATTTCAACTTTTGGTAAGGTTTGACATTTTTCCATAGCAAAGGTTTATTTTAAAGGCAAAAACATTCCAAGATTTCTAAATCTGAATTTAATTTGCATGACACCAAATTTCATAACATTGTCTAAGCATACTTTTTGTAGCTCCCCAAATAGATATTTCTAATGTAGATAAAACCTAAGAATGATCCAGTAATTCCACTTCTGGGTGGAATTCTACCCAATTTCACTGACCAAAAAAAAAAAAAAAAAAGGAAGCAGGGACTAGAATAGAAATTTGTACACTCATGTTCATGGTAGCGGTTTTCACAACCCGAGTGTCCAGGGATGGATGACTGGATAAACAAAATGCGGTACAGACATACAACGAAATATTATTCAGCCATGAAAAGGAAGAGAACTATGACACATATATGTTGCACGGAGACGAACTTTGAGGACATCGTGCTAAGTGAAATAAGCCAGTCACGAAAGCACGAAGCTTAGACGACCCACTCGTAACAGGTTCTTACAGTCATGTTCACAGAGACTGAAAGAATGGGGGTTGCTAGGCCGGGAGAAGGAGAAACGGGGAGCTGGTGTTTAATGGATGCGGAGCTGCGGTTGAGGAAGAAGGAAAAGTTCTGGAGATGGGTCAATCCGGACCCCTAATAATTTGTTTTATTTACGCATTTTCATACCCTGAAACTCCTTATACAACGTATCTAGGAACTCTGGGTATGGAGCTGCTTTGCCCCTAACTTCTTGGTCTTCGTTCCCTTTCTTCTAATAAAGCAGTTCTTCTGGATAAAATTTGCCTTTGAGGATTATTTATTCTACGGACATTCATCGAAAAACCCGTGTTCTGTTTTTGTTTGCTCGGTTTTGCTTAAACAGCTCTAAGTGTTTCAGAGATGAACGTTCTAAGTCTTTTTAGATAATTCTCTTTGAAAGGGAGCAAATGTTAGGAAAAAGAAATCTGCGTATACCCTAGAAGACTGTGGCACAGAATGACAGCGTGGTTTGTTGGAAGCTGGTCTGAAAAGGTGGGATGGGGAGGGACCACGGGGGGGGAAAGGAGGAGAGAGGGAGGGAGAGAAGACAAGAAGAGGAGAGAAGTGAGGGGAAGGGAGAGAGAGACACACACAGGGACTGATTTAACTTCCCAGTGCTCTCTCGGTCCATCCACTTTGTCCCTACTGCTATCAAGTTCAGACAAGAGAAAATAATGCTTCATGCAGAAACAGCGATGATCTTCCCAGTTGCTCCCCGCTTCGTTTCACTCCCCTCAAGTCCATTCTTCACATGCCTTCTGGAATGATGATCTACAAGGCAAAGGGCTGATGAAGTCTGTTCTCTGCCTTTGGGCTTCATCTTTTACCACATCCCGGTTACTGTCCCTTGTCTTCAGACTGTCCAAGTGCCGCACTTGATGAGAAGCATAGATGACGTCAAGGAGCCTGGAAGTAAGAGGTGGTGTGGTCTTTGCTTGTCCATGAGCCTGCAGCCTGGGCTCCTGGGGACCCCTGGAGCTGTTGCATCTTTCTCTGAAGGGACCTGGAGTCACGCTAATGGTTGGACAGGGTGAGATCTTGTCTTCTAAGGAAGCACGTTGGAGAAGAAATCCCATTGGCCTTTGTTTCCTCCTGGCTGTCCTGAAGATCATTAAGCAGATACACGTTCTGCATCATTCATAACTGAAATTCCATACTTAGCCACATTTCTAGCTAAAAGGAAAGCATGTTTCCCACTGCCGGGTGTTAGCTAAATGCTCTACCAGGAACGGTTAGAACGTCAAGTTGTCGTCTACGTGTTTGCACAGAGCTTTGTCATCATGGGTTTTCTAACTCTGTTCACTATATTGAAGTATACATCACTCAGATGCTCCCTAGGAGGGAGAGTGGTCCCCTCCACCTTGACTGGTCCCCTCCCCCACCCCCGCCCACCCCTCACATCACAGAACACTTCTGCTCCGCCGTCTGCTTGATTTCCGTGAAGGTGGCCTGTGCTTTCTCTTTTATGGTGTCCAAGTCCATGTTCTGAAGATTCTGTAACTGCCCAAGAATAGAATCCTTATCTTCTTCCTCTTCTTGATCCTCATCGACCATTTTCCGGAGGTCTTCGGGCAAATCCACGTCATCTCCAGCCATCTGGATTTGGTTGTCATCCATTTCACTCTACACACAAAAAAAAACAAATACAGAGATAGAGAGACCATGCGAAAACAGACAGACAAACATGAAAAGCAGCAGGAAGATAGAGGTCTGTTGGGGAAGTGAATGATGCTGGGCTGTCTCTCAGCAGAGCCTGGGCCTGGTGGCAGTCGTGGAGGCCACAGGTCCTGGTGGAGACACTCCTCTTTCAGTGTACTTGGTGGATCAGAACCTCCAGCACAGTGGTTTTCAAAGTGTGGTCCATGGACCCAGCAGCATCAGCATCACCTCGGAACGTGTCACGAAGACACATTTTCAGGCCCGCTGAATCAGACACTCCGAGTGGGGCTCTGCAATCTGTTTTAAGAACCCCTCTCTGTTATGCTGATGCAGCAAAGCTTGAGCGTCACACACCAACTCAGGGCAACTCTGCACACTTTGCCGTCTGTTGGCTCCAGGCTGTGACTCGGTGGCCCTGGCTGACCCCACTCGGGAGGGTGGGGTTTGGGTTCATGGTGGCCTGACAGAGCTCCCGCATTTCATCAATCTTTAGTGGCAACTTCTGCCTAACCATGGTCCTTTCCCTCCCTTCTACTAGGCAGGGGCCCCTCCTGGGCACAGAATCATGTCGACTTCAGCCTTACATCCTCGGCACCTGGAAGCAAGTCTGCCACAGAACACTTGCTTATCACGTGACTCGTCGAAGGCATGGCTCCCACTCAGCACTCTGTCCAGGCTTGTGTCATGGATGCCTTACGATTCCACCTTGTGTTTCTAGGTATGGCTGTTACTGAACATCCTAGTGCGTGCTGCCTGGTGTTAAAAACTCATGTGTTTCGTTGTGAGAGAGGAGAATCGAAAGAAAACGTTTTTCTGGGAAAGGTATAAAGGATGCCAGCTTTCCCAGATGGCTGCCGTCAGATAATTTTCTGAGATCAGGTTGCAACAGGAGGCAAACTGGGCTTCTGGGGCAGAAAAGATGAAAGTGTCAGAAAAGCAAATGACCAGAAAGATCTAAGCAGACTTCAGGGCCCACCGCCATGTGCTGTGACCAGCCAGCCTGGAGTTTGTTACCAAAGCACATGACAGATCACATAAAGATAAAACGATCATCTTAGTCTTAATCAGACCACGTTGATTTGATTTTAGAAGGAGTTTGACACCTGCTGAGTCCCCAGGCAGAACTAAAGTCAGCACCTACAGAGAGAATTTCCCATGCATGGTGCCGAGTAGAGATGATCATAAGCAAACATCGGTTGTCTCTAGGTCCAAAGGGCCAGCTAGTGTGACGTGTAAACTTGACTCCATCCATGAAGTTGGCCTCCGCGGGCCTTTCTCATTCTAACACTACGAGACTCTGTACTTCTCCAGCTGATCCCTCCAGAGCCTGGAGGCCACAGCCTTCCCCCAGAACTTTTATTTTGTTTTCTGGGCAGAGTGACAGCGAGCTTGGCTCCAGAAAGGGCTGGAGAGGCTTCTGACAAAGAGCAGAGAAGCCCTCGCGAGGCTGGGTCCTCTCAGACCCCCTCATGTAGACCCCTGAGAAGGACCACTCTCAGAGTCACCCCCTGAGGTCGGAGAAGCCTCTCCCTGCACTTGGCCAGGCGTTGGCCCCTCAAAGCGCTTAATGGATTAATTAGTTCCTCGTCAAACTGTTGTGAGGATTAATTAGTTAGTTAATCCCCAGGGGCTCTCAGCCAATCCTCCACATCTATTTATTTTTTATTTACCTACCCTAGAGGTTGCCTTCCTTGCTGATTATCCTCTGGGCATTTTTGCAGAAAGCAGAGGAAACACAGGACTGCAGCCTGGAGTCTCAGTTCATGTAAATGCAGGATATCTGCCCTCCCGTATGCGCCCTGAAATAACATGCATATGCCTTGAACAGACATTCCTGGGAATTCTGGCACTCCTGCCCCTCTAGTTGGTAAAAAGATCTCTGCAGATGTCACCAAGTTCTAACCTGGTCAGAGTAGCTGCTGTGGGTCTCGAGGGACAGCCAGCTGCTGCTCACGGGGACCGGAGCTGCTCCCGAGGGCTCACGGCCATGACCGCCCGTCTCCCCTTTACCAGGCGATGCCGTGTGTGCCTCTGGAGAAGGTCTGGACCAGTTTCTTTTTTCGAGGAAGACTTTCAGGCTTACTTTCTCTCCATTCCACTCGCTCAGGGAAGGGACATCCGGGGGTTCCCCTTTGCATCATAACTCACAGAGGGACTTTTGACAGGCACGACTTCTCCTAAGTGGTTCTCAAGGTGAGTCCCCAGCAGCAGGGATCTTGTTAGAAATGCACCTTCTCAGGCCTCACCCAGACCTGGGGCTTCAGAAGCTCTGGAGGTGGGCCCGGCTCTGACACCCAGCAAGACCTCCTGGTGATTTTGGTGCCTGGCCAAGTTCAAGAAGCCCTGCTCCATGTTCCTTGACAACGGGGGCTGTAACTTACTCATTTGTCATCTCAGAACCCAGCAGCGCCTACAGACAGTGGTCTCCTTCTTGAATGATTCGTGGACCCTCTCGTCACAGACTGCAACAGCCTTAACGGTGCTTGCATGTGTGGGTCCTCTTTGCTGTAAAGAGTTCTATTTTTACAGCTACCGACATACTTATC